AAAAAAAAAAAAAAAAAAACAGGAAAGTTATGAAAGTGGGTACTTTATTTTCTTCGGTTAGGAAAGTATAAGATGGAGTATTTGTAATGCTTGCCTTTTAAAGCCTTAGGACTGCAGACGTTGTGCACTTAATATTTTCGTTTCACGTTTCTCAAGCTAGTGAGGTTTGATTCTGTTCTCGTCCTACAGACAACAGAACTGCGTTCCCTGTCAGGGTGGCGGTGGCTGAGCACAGCTGCCTTGTCCTCCACCACTCCTGCAATCATCAGCCTGCAGTGGGGTTTCTCTCCCAGCTGACTTTAACAAACAAAAAGGGAAAAGCAGCTTCCAAATTCAGGAGCATTCCAGCCAGTATAGCAGAGGCCTCTTCTGCTTTGCACCTTTTCTACTTTCTTCCTCCTCACCGTCCTCCTCTTCCCTCTCCTCCTCTTCCTCTTCTCTCCGTCCTCTCTGTGGGGACTGTCCCGCTGGCTTCGTTGGGGCAGGAGCCTGAGGACCCACTCTGGGAAGTCCTTCAGGTCGGTGACCTAAGTTAGACAGTGGGGCTTTCCAGGAATCCAACTGTTTTTAAGGCTCCAAGGTGCGAATATCTTTCAGTTTATCTGCACTTCCGTTTGGATGTGTGAGATGTGGAAGTTTTCCTGCTAACACGTCCAGGCCTCTGAAGATTTTATTGTCACTGAGCTCAGTCATTTTTACTTAGGGTAACGTGGGAAGACCTGAAACATGAGGAACATGAATTCACAGATTCTGCTGGTTCACCCTCCCTTGATCGCCTTTCATTTGCAGTTGTCCAGGAAGGGCTCCAGCACAGCCGCTGGGCCGGCTTCTCAGCTTCCAGTGGACCCCTCTTCATCTCTGTGTCCCTGACCCTGAACTTTTATCAGCCACCCAACCAGCAACTCTCATATTTGTAGTCACTATTCCAGGAGCTTTGAAATCTGGACCCAGCTTCCTGGTGCAGAGTCTGTTTTGCCTACTGAGCCAGTCCACAGGCCAAATGGCCCTCTCCACCTTGTACCCGTCGGCTACTTTTTAAATTCTCGTTAGTTTTAGGGTCATCCAGAAGTGGCCACTGTGTGCGGAGTATCTGTTTTCAAGCCTCCAATAATGCAAACATTCCTGTTTGGGGCAAGGATATGGGCAGCCCTGTAGACTCAGTTCTGGAGTGACATTAATACATCATACCTCAGGCCTGGTCGGGCCAGTCACAGATACACTGTGGACCTGTGCACTCCTGTGTGCTGGACAACTACAGATATTTTTCCTAATTATATATTAATAACTATATATCCATCCAGTAGTTGCTCACAAATATCTCCAACATAGAATTGTAAAGAAATATAAAATCATCTGGCCTACTTGTGACACAGGTATTTTTCACTAACAGTAGTGCCCTAATTTTTAAATATGTTTTGGGAATCATTAGTTGTTTTGGATTGTATTTCAATGCATTTATCTTACGGAGAAAGAGCTATTTGTTAACACAGTTCAGAATTTCTGAGGCCTGAATTTATTTTCATTCCTGTATTATGCAGCTTAAGTCTAGCACCAGCAATAAATAAATGAAGTTATTTTGAAGAATTAAAATTATTCAAAATTATTAAATAATTGAACACTGTTAATCCAGACCTAAAGACTTAGTTCATTTAGAGACATGCCTATATCTTGAACTTTAATTCTTTTTATTGATTGTCCCAGTTTTCTTATTTTCTTTCTTTTATTTTTGGTACCGGGGATTGAACTCGGGACCTTGAGCTTGCAAGGCAGGCAGCAGAACCACTGAGCTAAATCCCCGGCCCTGTTCCAGTTTTCAGTTGAAAGTTTTCTGCACTTCATGGAAAGAGAAGGAGCAAAGCTAGAACTTAGAAGTTCTCATATATTTGTTTCATCCCTCTCCCAGCTTTCATAAGTATTAGAGTTGAGTAACTGTGAAAACTAAAAGGCTCATGAAATACAATGTCATCACATTATGGCATGATAAAGTTACTTGAGAGATTCATTTTGCATTTTCATTAATGACTGGAGCTCTTTGTTGGAGACGTTTTAGTCATAGAACTGCATTTCCTTACTAATTTCTCTAGCTCCTAAATAGGAGTTGTCACAAAAGTGAATCAGGCACTTCATGTGTGTGTAAACTTTTATGTCCGTCTCCCTTGAAACAATTTGTAGGGTCCCACCTGTGCTCACCTAATGACTGGCTCATTCTTGGTGATACCAATGCTGTAAAGGTAGCCATGGTAGAGAACTTGTATGATTTCAAAATCATTGTCTGTTTTTGTTTGTTTCTACCAAATTGAGAGCTAAAGAAAAGAAAGATCTCATTACGATGTAGCACTTGAAAGCACACACTCCTGGAGGAGACTTCTGGCTTTGAATCTAGCATCTGTTAGCTATGTGATTTTTCAGCAAGATGCTTGACCCCTGTGCCTCGGTTCCCTTGTCTGTAACGGTGAGTTGATGTGTACAGAACACTTAGCACCAGATGCATGCTAAGCCCTGAAAGTACTAGCTGTTCTCTCACACCCTTGCTTTTCCCTCTTTCTGCAGTGAGGTGAATGATCAATAAAGACTTAATGCATGTTTCCCAGCGGAAGGAGAAGCATTTTTTTGGTCAAAAGATCTCTGACATAACAATACCCTTGAACTCTTTTCTCCCTTCTTCATAAGCCTGATGATTTTCATCTTAGCTGATCTTTACATGTCTAATTTACTCTTTCATAACCTGAAGTAGTCTTTCTTAGCTAACCTTAGATCTGAGTGCTTATGAAGTCACACTCCCTCAGCTAAGGCCATTATGCTAAATATCGTGCTAAACACCTGCTCCTGGGAGATTCCTTCTCTGTCTGATCTCTTCTCTTCTCAGTCTCCTGCTTGAAATTTCCTAGACACTTGCTTCTCATGGACATGTAGTTTTACTTTGAACTTCTCAGTCAAGTTCTTGTTTTCATTTGTGTCACACCTGCCATCCGTCCTCAGAGTTTTGTCTCTTCTAATCCACATCCTGACAACAAAACTTTCCTCTTTGATATTACTCAGGACCGACTGGTCCTTTTCCAAGCCTACTTCTCTTTTCCGAAGTCTGAACTTTCCAAAGCCTTACAAGGGAAAGCACTCCTAATGTTTTCCACTGTGGATTAGACTTTCTCGTCCAAGACTTTTACTAGAGCATTATGAGATTTTTCTGCGATTTGTAAATCTCTGAAAAGATCAGGAGACACAAGGGGACATGTGTGTGGAGCATCGGGACCTTACACAGGGGTGGCCTCTCTCATGCTACCTTTCTTACTCATTTTGTTTCTTGCTGAATGAAGAAACTCATGCAGGTAGTGATAGCAGTTGAAGATGCTGGCTGTGTCAGTACTGCAGTTTCTCTCACCTGCCCACCTTCATCGTAGGGACAGTTTGCAGCTCTAAGATCATGATGTGGACTGAGGGGTGTCAGAGCCTGAGGTGCAGTTGGCTTTCATAGGCCCCCAACTGTCCAAGACCCAGTCTGAGCTGGCAGTCACTGTGTTCAGTTTCACACTGCAGCATGATGGTCTTTGTAGTTTTGTTCTAGAATTGTGACAGCTAATAGATGGCAAACCTACTCTGCAAGTTTTCTAGTTATATAACTTTGAAGTTTATCTGTCTAGAAGAAAAAGATGCAGTGGGTAGTAACATTCTGAGTCTTTATAAAAAATATTCTCTCTCACTCCTACTTCAATAATTTCTATTTGGCCTAGGTACAAATAACTATGTCACTCTTAACTGTTCTTTGGAGTGTAAAATAAGGGATAATAATTGTATATTACTTCATAGAATTCTTGCGAGTTAAAGTATGCAAAACAACATTATTATTGTGCCTGGCATTCCGTAACATTCAAAAAATGTTAGCTAATTAACCACGGATAGACCCGCACTCTGCCAGCGCGGTGTGTGAGCACTGGCTTTCTTTTGTAAGTCTTTAGAGGGAAGAGTCACAAAACTTGACTTGATGGAAATTTATAATAACGGTAGGTAACTTGTCACAGGTGGTTCGTGAGGTCTTCTGTGCCACACCTAGAAAGCAGAGAAACCAGTCAATTTCATATAAGGTGCCCTGGTTTTTGTTCAAAAGCCGAACAAAACAACTCCTGAAGTGGTACTGGCTCTGTTTTAAGAGAGACGCTGTACTGCACTTGCCCGGGAGTGGCTATCAAATACTTCAGATAATCTTTGAGAGGCTACACAGCTAGATCTTCTGTCACAGAATTAAAAAGAAACGTGCTCAGTTTGGGTGCCTGTTTTTCCATTTTTCGTAGCCCAAGTGTCCACACTGCAGAACCTCCGTTTAGTAGAGGCAGGGTTGTGACTCCCAAGGCTCCTGGGCTCTGCATAGTGCGGTCCAGCTGCAGACGGCGGTGTGGCTGGGCTGATGTCTCTTCGCTGTGGAGCGATCGTGTTTCCTCTCATGATATTCCTGGCCCTGAGGTGTGCTGTATCCAGGATAAATATTTGGTAAATGTGAGTAAATGAAGGAGAGGAAGAAACTAACAAACAGGAAAAAGAAAGTGTGTATGAGCGACCTCTGCAGCACAGCGAGGCAGTGACACCCCGAGCACACAGCCAGGCCGCCAGGGTAGGGCAGGCCACACTTACCTGGAGGTTGCGCGCTTCAGATCGCTGGCATTAGAGCAGCCTTTATTTTATGAAGTGACGGTGATGTTTTGTGGCCACTTTTGGGTGGAAGAAAGTTTACCGGATACCCTCACCAGAAAGCACTGGCCTTTGCTAGTGCTGCGGCCCAGACTCTGGGTGGAAATGTCATTTGCAGGAGGAATCCAGGGTGAGGGGCACTGACTTGTGAGCCGGTCTGCTTCATCCCTTCAGGTCCTGCAGTTGAGACCCAAGGCCGGCGTCAGGGGGCTGCACAAGTCGCTCACCGACGTGGCCTTGGAGCACCACGAGGAGTGTGGCTGCGTGTGCAGAGGGCGCGCCGGGGGATAGCGGTGTCAGCGGC